GTGGCGGCGCAGCAGGGCGACAACATAACGGCATATGCCTATCGCATACGACCGCGCAATTTTGAATTACCGATTGTATACCCAACAGTCAGGATTAGCCGTGATATCAAATTGTTTAAACATACAACTAAAAACAAATAAGGTATGAACTATTTTTGCCGTAGAAGCGCTAGCAATACTCACAGCCATTTAAATAATTCACTATACTAACAATAAGAAATATCTAATAATGTCCGATTCTTTAAGCAATCTAATAAGCATTTGCAATTTAAATACGTCTCAATCAGTTATCTGCAAATAATTTATGAACTCAATGAATGCAAAATCATTATATCGCTTGCATGGATCACGGGACACGTCGGTATAATAAGTAACGAAGAAGCTGACCTAAAAGCAAAAGACACAAAAGGTACCTTCCCTTTCGAAGTATGTCTCCACATATTATCTGTCTGAGACTTGATAAAATCAACCAAATTCAAGTACATGGATGAATAGCAAAATTTCTGGACTAAATGTAACAACAATAAGTTCAGAGAGATAAAACCTACTATATTATCATGGCACGAACTATTCGAGATGTCCTGAAGGGACGAGGTAATACTCGTCCGCCTATGAATAGGCCACACCCGCATGACTCACGGATACCTCATGACCAAAGAAGGGCCCCCCATCATGCCCAACGTGCGGAAGGGAGATGGTATTTTGCGCCACTTTTATTACTTGTAATTTGCGCCACGAATARGTAYATTTAAGTACGTATGTAATTTGCGCCAAAATATAAAAATATAACATGTATTTTGCGCYACTAAAGAAAACAAAATGGAATATGTAATTTGCGCCACACTTTCAACTTTAATAGCAGTTGAAATTTACCAGCAGATAAATTTAGTGATATGTTATCAATATTCAGAAGTTTTGGAGAAATACAACATTCCACCCAACTTATATGGAGCTCTGGGACCGAGCAACGAGACCACATCGAACATGATAGCCTTTCTCAAAGGATCGGAAAATTGTATCTTAACAAAAAACTAATAGCCTTTTTTGTTGATGATTTTTTAGTTCAATAAAAAAAAAAATTTTGTGATATCGCATAGGATATACAATAATACGTACCGATACGTCCGACGCGTGTCACATAATATCGTCGAATTATTTATAATTATGACTGATTTTTATATGTTTTATTAATTAACGACAATTTAGATGTTTAATATGCATGGAGTTTGATTTTTTATATACATTTATTTATAATTACGAGTTTAATATGACTGATTTTTATAATATGTTTTATTATTTAACGATAATTCACATATTTAATAAACATGGAGTTATTTATATTATTATAATATAAGTGGCGCAAATTACAATTTTAATAAGGTGAACAATGGCGCAAATTACAATTTTAGTAGGTACTCTAGGGCACAGATTACATAATTCCTTTTTATTTAATTTTATTTGGCGCAAATTACCAAAATACATTTTTAGATGTGGCGCAAATTACATATATGTATATATATTTTTTTTTTTGGTTGATTTTGCAAATTACATACGCCCGTGCGGAACAATCATTACAGTCAAGCATATACTGACAAAATGTCGACAATTCATTAAAAGGTTCTTCGAACTGAAACTCCGGAGACACTATACGAGATGCTAACACCCACTCTTGAGACGAACAAAGACTTTTTAATTTTGTCAACACAACAGAAGTGCGTCAACTGATAAGCAATTAATGCAAATTCAAAAAAATGTAACGATGGCTAATAACCTCGTTGTTGATGCTGAATATAATTAATAAAAAAAATAAATACTAAGTATGAATTGACAATATATAGGAATTTTTAAATCTTGTGTCATTGCTTAAGAAAAAACAATTTATTTTTAATGATTATCGATCGATGTTTCTATTAATAATAAGAAAATATAATGTTATGTTTTGACTTTTTGACATTTTGGACTTGACAATTGTAATTTTATAGGCATAATAAATAATTATTAAATGAAATAAGTCGGTATATTTAATAAGGAAATAAATAAATAATTATTTAAAAAATGTTTTTATTTTTATAAATGATAATTTATATTTTTGGACGTTTAATCTGACTATATAAATGTGTTTTGGACATTTTTACAAATGGAATTTTTTTCCTCGGGCTTATCCTCCGAGATTTCACACAAGTGTGTAATGAAATGTAAAAAACACAAAATATACGTACCTCTAAAAACAGATTTTTCAGATTTATCTATAAAATATTAGAAAATTAGAAATAATATTTAGTTGGCAAGATATTAATATATGATATATTTATATATTATATATATATATAAATAGATAGAAAGATAATGCAGATATCCATGCAACATCCATACTATTCTACGAAAACAATTTAATGAGAGAAATATTATTTTATTTTGGTATAACAACCTTAGGTTATAATCAGGTTAATAGACTTGTTTGTTCAACACTTTATGCAAGAATTGTAGTAATGCATTTTTTTAGATAATCAGGTCACGACACYATTGTCTTTTTAGTTTTTTATGAGGATTTTCGTGATGGATGGACGACAAGGGAAGTTAGATTATGGATCAGCTCGTTATTAAATTGTTTATAGTGAAGCTCGACTAATTCAGTGACGTTGAGTAAATTAAGGTCAGAGTGAAGGGCATTATTGGAAACATACAGAACGGATCTTTAGAGATGCCGCTAAAAAATATAAGATGTAACCTGCAAAAATGTATGTTTTGTAAGGACCGTGGTATTGATTTCAGTACCTGATTGAGCAAGCGTAACACGCTTACCACTTTTTGGGATTTCCACATTACCACTCGGTACTTTTTGAAATTTTAGTGATGTTGATCATTTCAGGTTTKATCTACCTTTATAATAGTGAAACAGTATAAAATATTAATTACGTACGATATATTCATAACAATCATAACATTATATACCTAGTATGACTATTATTATATTTCTGCGTTCAAATTTTCGAGTATTTTTAAAAATAATGCYGACATTTATTTTAATATGTTTCACATATTATGAAGGATATGGGTGAAGCAGATGTAACCCGCAACTGAAATAAGTTTCCTTCCAATCGCACGAACCATACATACACATAGGTACCAACTATTTTTTTTATTTTTTTGTCGCGCCGCTTCTATGTTCATCGATCGCGCAAATAGCTAGAAAGATAAATCAACAACCATACTATTCTACGAAAACAATTTAATAAAAGAAATATTATTTTATTCTGGTATAACAACCTTAGGTTATAATCAGMTTAATAAACTTATTTGTTCRACACTTTATGCAAGAATTGTAGTAATGCATTTTTTTTAGATAATCAGGTCACGACACCATTGTCTTTTTAGTTTTTTATGGGGATTTTCTATGATGGATGGGTGTGAAGGGCATTATTGGAAACATACAGAACGGATCTTTAGAGATGACACGATATAATATAAAATGTAACCTGCAAAAATTTATGTTTTGTAAGGACCGTTGTATTGATTTCAGTACCTGGTTGAGCAAGCGTAACACGCTTAGCACTTTTTGAGATTTCCACAT